GATGGGGAGATAGAGAGGGGGAGGGTGATGGGGAGAGGAAGAGGGAGGGAAGGGGGAGGGAAGGAAGGGGAGAAGGAGAGGAGGAAGGGGAGGAGGAGGAATGGGAAGGAAGGGGGTGGGGGAGGGGGAGAGGGAGATTTATAATTTATATAATCACTTGATAACTAAAAGTTTGATTAATATTCAACATGTCATTTAAGTTTAATATGTATTTTTCTATGCAGCAAAACCTTGTCTTTCTCCACAGAAATATACTAATAAAATGTCTTATAGCTTAGAGTAATTCTTATTGTAACTATTAAATCCAACATGGTATTGAAATAGTCTTACAAATTCTTAATATTTTGGGCAAAGGCATAGATTTCTTCACAGTTAACATGAAAATCAGTTACACACCACTGAACTTACAGAACTGACAAGTCAGTAAATATAATATATACACATTAGCGTGTATTGAAAATGTGTATTCAAAATTCAGCTAACTAAATACAGACACACATTAGAGCATTTTGAAAATGTGACATTCATCTAACTGAATAGAAGTTCTGGTGAGGGGGATTAGATCTGATGATCTCACCACCAAATGCTCAGGTCTGTTCATGTTGAACAGGTTTTCAGTACAACACTCCCTGATCAGACTGACCCTGACAGCCCGTGTGTCTTGAATAGCTACCATATGTGCTAACTAAACACTGGAAATTAGAAAATATGCTGTGGGTGGGGAAACTGCTGGTAAGAGGAAGTGTTCTAGAGCAATTTCAAAGGAGAATTCCAGGTTGTGAGACCAGCAGATGTTTATGACCTTATAGAACTCCAAGAGCAGCACGTGGAAATATTCATAAAATTGGTCTTGAAATTGAGACCTAATCGAATCATTCAAAAATTTGGTCTCAATCTTTCTGCTCCATCTTCTAGGATGATCCCTGAGCCTTGAGAAGAGTGTGTGATACAGGTGTCCCATTTAGGGCTGAACAACCCACAGTTTCTTATTCTCTGTACATTGACCAGTTGTGGGTCTCTGTGTTAATCACCATCTACTGCAAGAAGAAGCTTCTCTGGTGAGGTTTGAGACATGCACTAATCTAAGGGGTATAACTACAACTATTTAGAAGGCTGTTTGATATTATGTTCATTTAGCAGAGTAACTGTAGTAGGCTCTCCCATAGGACCTATAACCAGTTTAGCTAGGTTCTTGGCCCTGATAACAGTGCCAGGTATGGGCTCCACCTTTTGACGTAAACCTTAAATTCAATCAGAAAGTATTTGATTACTGCCATAACATCCATGCCACTATTATACCAGTGGGTGTATCTCACCAAGCCAGTCCTTACTGTAGCTGGTAGGGTCCACAGCTGGGTAAGACTGATGATTACTTTTCTCCTCCAGTGGTGGGCATAGCATGCTCCATAATTGTGTAGCTAACCAGTAGGGATGCAGCTTCTAGGTCACCATCAGCTTGATTTCTCCATTTTCTATGACTCATCAGTAAGATGTAGCCATCTTCAAAAATATAGTCTTTTTAAATTATTTTTTATTTTATGTGTGTCTGCTGCCTGATGTATATAAGTGCATCGCATGCATGCAAACCTGCCAAGGCCAGAAAGAATGTCAGATCACTCAGAACGGGAGTTATAGACAGTTAGCTGCCAGGTGGGTGCTGGGAATCAACGTGGGTACTCTGGAAGAGCAGTCAGTGCTCTTAACTACTGAGCCATCTTTCCATCCCAACAGTAGTCTTACTATAAGTTCTAAGAGGTAACCAGGAACAACAGCAGTAGCTTATAATGTTTGGGGCTCTATGGGACCTCACTGGCCGACAACTCCAAAAGAGGTAACCTATTCCTGGCATTGAGCCTGTGGTGTCTTGTGTGGGCATTGTCACCCCATTATAAAGTAACAATAGAAACTCTGTATATTTTAGGAAATCTTTACAGCAGGTTTCTATTTGACCTTTTCACCCATCTTTAGTGATGGTCTTTCCTCCCCACATTCCCTCCTTCTGACCTTCCATCTCTCACCCCATTTAACCTTACCTGTTCCATTATCTTCCTTTCCCCCTTTATATCACTGTATTCTCTGTTCCCTCCCTTAAAACCCCCCTCATGGCCCCCAATTAATTTCCTGACCTCTATGCATATTCCAAATGAAACACACATATCTAAAGATTCAAAGCTAATATCTACAAGTGAGAAAAACACGCAAAGGTTGTCTTCTTGGGTCTGGGTTACTTCACTCTGAATGATTGTCTCTAGTTCCATCCATTTACCTGCAAATTTCACAATTTAATTTTTCTAACAGCTGAATAATATTCCATTGTGAACTGTACCACATTTTCATTATCTGTTCATCTGCTGAAGGATATTTGGACTGTTTCCACTTCCTGGCTGTTGTGACTAGGCAGCAGCAAACGCGACTGAGCAGGTACCTCTGTAGTGGGATGTGGAGTCCTTTGGGTATGTGCCCAGGAGCGGGATAGCTGGATATGACAGATCTACTTTTAGCTTTTTCAGGAACCTCCACACTGAATTCCACTGTGGCTGGTGTCAGTTTCACTTGCACCAACATTCTTTTGTCATTTTAAAAATCTTAGTCATTCTGTCTGGGAAAAAGACTAACAGCCAGAGGTGGTGGATGATGGCAACAAAACTGTTTCCCAGGCACAGCAGGGCTGCTGCAATATAAACTCACAGTGGTTGGGACAGCTCAAGCCAGACATAAACCCAAAATAAAGGGGGAAAGTGGGCCTGAAGTTTCACCCCGGCTGAGAAACTATTGGCAATTAATAGCTGCTGGGAGAGGGAAAGAGCGTTCTTTAAGATTGTTGCCCCTGATGGGCTGAGCACACTCCAGTGGATGGTCACACACCCAAGAGTACATAGGCATCAAAAACTGGACCTGATGGGTTTAAAAAAAAAAAATGAGGACACGAAGATGGAAGGGTAGGGAAGAGGGAGTGAACATGAGAGGAGCTGGAGTGGGGATTATATATCAAAATACACAGCATAAAATTCTCCAAGAATTAAGTAAAGTACTAAAAAATAAATAAGTAAAATATAAAAATTTATCTCAATAACTTCATAATTCATTACAGTTTTATTAAAAGGCACTGAATGCCTCTATATCTGAGCCAACCAAAGACAATAATTTTATACTAGTAAAAAGTACTACCAACGCTAAAGGTAAACGTTGCTGATTTGGGATTTCCCATGCTTATTTCTTTTCCACACATGAACAAACCGTTAGTTAGATCTTGGAATTAGTTACACAGAGAAATTGAAAATACCACCTCACCTCCGCTCACCTTCAGCCTTATCAGTGGGGAAAAAACAGCGCTATTTTGTGAGTTCTGGTGAGGAAAAATTTGGCTAAGTGGACAAAACAACTCATGACCTGAGATGCTTCCGTCACAGAGGCCTCCACAAAGTGCTAACTAGAATAAACTTTAAAGGAAAACGTTGATCTTTAAAAGATCTCCTGTATGAGTTTAGATTCCAGACTAATCGCAACCCTGAGACAACATGGGTCATTGGTTTTCACCCTGACGTCTCTATCATACACTTCATTCCGTTTCCTACGTGGGAATTACTTACTTTGTCATTAATAAACATCTTTCCTTGTAAGCACATATCTAACAAACAAGAAAGTGAGCTTCTAAAGTTTAGGCAATATTTGCACGAGTTAAAGTTAAAGCTTACAATTAGTGCTTCATAAAATGACTTAGGAGAAAAAATAACACTAGTTAACAATGGCCGCCGTTATCTAGGAGGGATGTTGAGGCTATTAATGAAAAGCAGCCAAAGCTCTAATGCAGATACGGACAGGTTAGACCTACAGAGCACACCTGTGAGCTTTTCAGGGCGCCCACAGCCTAGCATAGAGATAGAAAAGTGATCTTCTTTCTTTCTTTGGGGGGGGGGTCTTTTTTTTAAAGATATGGTCTCCCTGTAGCCCCAGCTGCCCTGGAACTTGCTATGTAGACCAGGCTGGCCTTGAACTCACAGAGATGCGCTTGCTTCTGCCTCCCAAGTGCTGGGATCAAAACCGTGCTCCACCACACCCAGTGAAAAGTGATCTTTTCTAATGGTTTAAGGAAATATGCGGTTTACTGGGGTATGGAAATAACAAGATTCAAAAATTAAGGAAACAAGAGCAGTGAAAACAAACCTGAGGCCCAGCTGCCTGCAGATCACTTCTGCATCTGCATCATCCCACTGGTCATCACAGATGGTCCCCCACTGGCCAGCATAGTACAGCTCCACTCGACCTTCGTGCCTACTGTTCCCACCAGCAAGGCGGATACCAGGCAGCACCGGGCCTGTGTGACACAAAAGTAAAAGCAACGTCAAGCCATGTTTTGTTTTGTTATTTAAATTTTATTATTTTTAGTTTATGTGTATGAGTGTATTGTCTGCATGTGTGTAAGTGCACCCATGTCGTGCAGTGCCCGTGGAGGTCAGGAGAGGGTGTCGGATCCCCTGGAACTGGAGTTATGGACAGTTGTTAGCTGCCATATGGGTGCTGGGAATCGAACCCGGGTCCTCTGTAAGAGCAGTCTGTGCTCTTAACCACGGAGTCACCTCTCCAGCCCCAGCCATGTTGTTTTTACACTTTTCCATCATAGAAAATGTATTTGGTTTTCTTTCATTTAAAAGTAATATTTATTAAACCATACCAGTGATGTGGACATACATCTGCATATATGATAGATATTATGGGACTCTTGACCAGTTAAAATACTCCAAATTGAGTTGTATTTATTGAGAGAGCCCTTCAGAGGAAACTAATTTTTTGAACAACTTTAGAAACCAGAAAAGATCCACTAATCAACCTCAGGTTATTAGAAACACATTTAATTTTATCATATTATGGTAGGGACATTAATTTTTTAAATTATTTATTTAATAAATACAAAATTAGCAGAAGCATTTCATTACAACAGCATTGACATATTCAATAACAATTTCCAGAGCTAAGATGCATCTCTTTCAAAATTGGCTCTAAATTTTTAGGTTCACAGTTGAATTATTACAGTTATATAATATTGTACTCAGTATAAACCCTATAAGACATAAAATTGAATGAGGTTTTAACCTTTAAAAAGATCCCATTTCATTATTAAAATATACTGTTTCATATAGAAAAATACATTTTTAATGCAACTAATAATGCAACTAACAGTTGTTTGTGCATGTGTCCCTAATCTCTATATATCTGATTATTACTAGCCACAGTCGGTTAATTTCTAAGATCCCTGCACCTGATCATGGACATAAAGTCATCAGGTAGATTTCAATGGTAATGTTTTTCATATCTACTAATTAACATGAAGCAAATTTTTATGCTTCTTCCTCAAATATAACTCATTTTTTAAATTTATTGATTTTTTGTGTGTATTTCATACAGAACATCCCAAACAATCTTATTCATCTATATATCCATATCCCAAGTGATACCCTCCGATGGCCCCCCTGCACCTCCCTCCCCCCTTGCTGAAGCCCATATACTCTGTCATCTCTGTCACTGTCCATTGTGTTGTCAGTGCCCCCAGCCATTCTCCAGTGCTTGACCATCCACTGAGTCTAGTCAGCCTATCTAGCGTTCCTTGTTTTAGGAAGACCAGCTCTTCCTCACCTAGCAGCAAGCTGTTGCCAATATTCCTTTAGATAAGATTGGGGTCTGCTGTTCATTTTCCCAGTTCTATGCTGGGTTACTGTCTGGGAGTCTCTTGGGCCACCCTGGCCAACAACTCAAAGGAAGGTATCTCCTGCCTGGCATTGTTTCTTGTTATGTAGCCTTTAGCTATATACATGGACTCTTAAATAATTATATTGATCACTTTAATCTTTCATTATACTTTCCTCTTGGGTGTTTAAGACCATACAATTGGCCCAGATAAACCAATTTATTTTTACTTTTAATGTCACTTGAGGATCTGTTCCTCAGGGGTCACATGGGCTTGGAAGGAGCCCTGGCTCCTTTCTTTTACCAGTTCCATCTATATGAAGATAAGTCAAAGGTCCTGCTTGACCATGGTTGGCTTCGCTTGGAAGCATGGAGGAAATGTTTGCTCTGTGTTGACCCTCCTCTTTGTAGACTGGACACTGGCTCAAGTCCATCTGGTGGGGTCTCCATGGCCTCCTTGATCAAGAGGACAGATGACTCACCACAGTTACAGGACATTTTGAGAGATGCTCCATAGTGGTAGGGACATTAATTTTTATAGCACATGAGTGTTTCTGGTGTGTAATTATTAATTATGATACTCATGCTTATGGTTACTTGCTTTCAGTATAGAATTATTTTTATATTTTTAGAAATGAAAGCAAAATTACCATTTAGTTCATTACAAGTTAGTGAACCTTATTGACTGGACCTCCAAAATGCAATTATTGAAAATTCCTTTGGGTGTGGCCCACATCGCATCCATTTCCTCTGTGAAGGACCTCTAAGAGGGGCTAGATTCCCACAGGCTGGGTGTCTTCTAAATCTAAACTTCTGTCTTCACTCCTGGCCATTTGCTGGGCTATGACCACATGTCCCCGGCCTCTGTCCCCAAGACTCCATGATGATTCCCACCTCAGAGTCCTTGGGCTTGCTGTGCTTCTGCTCGGAATTTGTCCTGCTGATCTTCACTGGTTCCTCCCTTTCCTCATTACTCAACAATCAACACCCATGCCCTAGGAGGCCTGCCCTGACTGCTTTAGTAAAATCAGCACCCTAGCTAGTTTGAAAGTAAAACGTCCTTCATGGGTCATTTGTTTGAACACTTGGTCCCCAGCTACTTGTGCTGTTTGGGAAAGCTGTGGAATCTTTAGGAAGTGGAGCCTCACTGGAGAAGTGGGTCACTGGTGGTAGGCCTTGAGGGTTTAGAGCCTGGCCCCCTTCCTGTTCATTCTTTGTTCTTGAGTGTGCGTGCAATGTGACCAGCCAGCCTTCGGCTCCTTGTGCCATGCCTTCCCTGCCCATTGCCAGGCCTTCCCCACCATGAAGGACTATATCCTTCTGAAATGTAAACCAAAACAAATAATTCCTCCTTTAAAATGCATCTGTCAGTGTACTTTATCACAGCAATAAGAAAGTAACTACGAAGATCATACACTGGGAAACCATTTTGTCCCAAGTGATGTGTTTCATATATACTACGAAAATGATCTTGCATCTTTCAGCATGATTTCCCATTACCAAAATGAGTGTTTCATGTACAACATATTTATTATACAGAACATACTTTTTATGTAACAAAGTTATGTAAAAAAGAAAATATGGTGGGCATGGCACACTCCTTTAATCCCAGCACTCAGGACGCAGAGGTAGGCAGATGTCTGTGAGACTGAGGCCAGCCTGGTCTACACAGCAAGTTCCAGGCTAGCCAGGGCTACTCTCAAAAAAATGAAGAGGAGAACAAAGAGAAAGAGGAGGAAAGGAAGAATCAGTATGATATAAATGAGATAGATTTGAAAATCAAACAGAATTCAGAGCTGGATACATTCGTATTTAACAGCATTTAATTAGATTGTCAAATATAATTCAGACTTATTTCTGAATTTAAACCCTTAAGGAAATGATTTAACTGAGACATATCTATCGCCTAGAATCATGTTTAAAACACAATGAACCTAAAACAAGATACTACTTTTTTTAGATTCAGAAAAGCTACACAAAACAGCAGCTGCCACCTTCTGAGGTGATGCTCCTCCCTGCCAGAAGTCCTCTCCACAATACACTATATTTTCTTTCATCTCCTTAACAACAAGCATTGCTCCAATAAATGGGAATATGGCCCAGTCCAGAAAATGAGGTTTATTTTGCTATTGTTTTGCTTATGAAAATCCAATGACAGATGCTAGGTTTATCAAATATAAGCAATTTTTTAATCAAAACATTTAGGTTTTTATAATGGAAGACATTAATAAAGATGGATTTGGAAAAGAAGAAAAGAGAGCATCAGAACATACAAGACACCAAACACACATACCCCCTTACACACAGGCATGCACCATGTATATATCGAGGAAATCAAGAATCAGATTAGAAACCTGTATGATCTGTCTTAAACAACTACTTGAACAAGATTTTGTTATCTAAGAATTGACCAAAAAGAAGAGAGGTAAGTTTCAAATATAAAATGGATGTTTTGTGCAAGTGGTGTGTGACAGGGCCAAGGGAGGCTTTGGTTGTTGGGGTTTGGCCTTAGCTGATGTCAGTCAGAGTTGCTAGTGTCTCCCAGCTCCACTGAGCAGTGTGCAAAAGGAGAGCCTTGAAGGTTCTTTCCAACTCCAGGATTCTGTGCTACAAGTTTTCTTTTAAAAATTGTTTTTCAATGTATATTTTTATTGAGTTTTTGTGATTTCACACAAAACATATTAATCATATTTAGACCCTCCCCACACACCCATACCTCCCGTAGCCCCACCATCACCAGATTTCACACATTCTTTCACATATGTTAAGGCCAATGGAGTCACATTTGTGTACCCAGATGTCTCTCGGTTGAGAATTTTTAAATATGTGCCAGAAAGGCCTTGAAACTGATTAATAAAACAACAGTGTGTAGTTGGGCTCTACTTTTAGCTCATTAATCTACATAAAGATACAAATTGATATTAAATTTAAAACATATCTAACACTGACCTGCTCAAGATGGGACTCTACAGTATCTTCACGTTACAAAATCATTGAACTGAAGACATTTAGGAGGTTTTAAAATACAAAGTGTCTTCCCAGCTATGAAGGCGGGTTGCTCAGTTTTCACTCTGCAATTCCTGGGCCACTAGGGACTGGAGAGATGACTCAGTGGTTAAGTTCACTGGTTGTTCTTGCAGAGGACCTGAGTCCAGGTCTCAGTACCATGGTGGCTAAAAATTGTCTGTAATTCCAGTTCCAGGGAATCTGACACCCTCTTCTGGCCTCCTTGGGCACTGCAAATATCAATGCACTTACATACATGCAGGCAAAACTCTCCACATAAAATAAAAATAATACATTTTTAAAATTTAAAAAAAGAGTCACTAAAGGGTGATACTCTGCAGTCATATTAGCTTCCCTGGTTCATGTTTGCTGGACGGAAGTTTACATTATTGCCTCAAGTAGAAGGTGATGTGGCCACTGGTAAGCTACCCATGCTTTGCTGGATGCCCCCACATCTATGCACACCTGGGCAGCACTAGTGGCTTCTGTGGGATTTAAAAAGAAAAGAAGAAGAAGAAAAAGAAGAAGAGGAGGAGGAGGAGGAGGAAGGGGAGGGGGAGGGGGAGGGTGCACACCTTTAATCCCAGCACTCTGGAGGCAGAAGTAGGTAGATCACTGTGAAACTGA